ACAAGATGGGTGGCGCTGCCCAATAAACTCACCCCTTGGAGCAAAATTTAATTTAAATTAGTAGCTGCCTCGCACAGGCCAAGAGGCACTCCGCAGGGCCATTGTACTTATGTCCGTATGCAGGTACGCACAAGGGGACACAGGAGGTAGTGAGCACCCAAAGGAGCCACAGACACTAAAAAGAACCCGAGGAATGGCAGAGGCAAAGGAAGCCAAAAGCACCAAAATGCCATGTGGAGGAGGCAGACGCCACCCACAGGAGCAAACAAGAAGACAGAGCCCAGAAGGCTCAGGAAACTGTGCAACCGTCAACTGACAGGAGAGGCGGGGCCCAAGAGCCAGAGCTCAACCCCCGCAAGCACTACTAGGCAAGCACCCCACCAAAAGTGAGAACCAGCACTAGGCCGACAGAAGCGCCAGACAAGGCAACCTCACCTGCAGAGCAGACACACGACCGTGCCACAACACAGGCGAGCCAAGTAACACACCAGGAGCAGCGCTAAAGGTGTGCCCGAAAGCCATACATACTCGAGGCAGTAGGCACAGTATGTACCCTTACCTGAATAAAATGCGAGGTCGAAGGAGAAAGACGACCAGAGGTGCGCGCCCTGCAGAAGACGAAGCAGGACAGAGGAAGAACAAAGTGACACCCCCAGATATAAATCCAAAACACCCCTCAGCATCCAGAGGGCCACGACCGGAGGGAGAAACGAGCAAGAAGCCGTAGAAAACCACGAGAAATGGCGTGAACACACGAGCATACCGCCCGTAAACAAAACGCACACCGCGGCCCCAGCACACGAGGTACGAAACGCACCACCCGTCCACCGGGAGGCGTGGCTCGTACACCAGGCGGACACACAAACCATACACACAACGTACAGACATCGTACAAACACCAGGAAGATGTGCGGAACGAAGACAAAGAACGCCAAAACTGGAAGTAGAGACGACGCGAAAACAAAACAAGGCGAAAACGAAGCGAAAGAAAACAGATGATGGATGGGAACCAACAAGGCCAACAAAAGACCCGATGGAAACCACATCGAAAATCAACAGACGTTCCAATAATATTGGAAGGTACGAAGAGACTCGCGAACCAACGAGAACCATGACAAGCACCCCTATACCAAGGAACATGCAGGGACGTACATACCTTACCTAAATAAACGATACGAAGCAGGTACAATTAGGCACTATGTACTAGGTCAATATAGAAATCCATCAATGTTTGTTTCACACCTTGTATGGATGTACCTTACCTGAACACTTTTTTTTTTTTTTTTTTTACTTTGTGAACAGCATCGTGACATAGGAGCGAAAAGGGTAAGGAAAAGGGGGTGAAACACACCCCCAGGAACGACAGGACCGACGAACCCGAAGGAACACGGAACCGAACCCAGGGAGGCGTATACCCGGAAACAACAGGAACACAGAGGGAAGGAACAACCCCACTCTGAGGAACTGCCAGCCCCACACCAAAGGTACAAGGACCCAAGAGGGGCAAACGGGGCCGAGGCCTCCCAGGTAACCCCTCCCTAACCCCAGGAACCTCTACGGCATGACCCAGGGCCGAGCCGCACCCCCAAAGCCCCAGCTTAACAAGGAAAAGCTGGGGCAGCCGTGCAAACACTAATGAAGGGAGCCCACTGGTCAGACCCATACTGCACAGCAGGAGGAACCGACTCGAATGCCTCCGCCGCCACCCTGGAAGAGGAAAACCCCCGAGACCGCCCGAGTCTCAACCCAACCAGACCCCGCCCCAACCCCGAAACCCTCCTATGGTTCGGAGCAGGAAGCAAGGGAGGAAGTGAGTAGAACAGAAGGGGAGGAACAAGAAGCGGAAGGAGCCAGAGCCGAAGAGACCCCCACCCCCAAGTCCAGACCCCAACCACCAAAACGGGGCAGCCTCGGGGCATCCGGGGTCGCAAACCAAGAGCGTTGCAGCAACACACACCCAGCAAGTAACGCCGCAGCTGCCTGCACCCAATTATCAAGACCAGTGGCCTGGGTGAAGAAGAGTGCATACCGACAACAATCATCGGACGACTCCGGGTCACAAGAACAAGGACCCAACAGGCAGCATGGCGGAGGCACAACAGGTGAGTGTCACCCTGAGACAAGGGGACAGATCAACCGTCAAACTCGCAGGACGCGAGGGGGACTCCGGGGACACATCTAGAGGACCACGGAGCCCCCGTGGGGTTTCCCAGGGCCCTTAGCCTTTGGTACACGCTAAGGGAAGCCCAGGCAGGGTACCGCGAACCGGCGCCCAAATCTACCAACAAACTGCTAAAGCTGAACCCCCGGGACGTGTCCACTCACGGGGGCCAAGCGGGGAGTACCGCCAACAGAAGAATTCGAAAGAAATTCACCTAAAACAGGAAAGGGGGACCATAGTAAAACCAGACCCCCCACCAGGCAAAAACAAAAACAAAAGAAAAACCCCGCAAGAGGACAACGTACCCAGGCGGAACAGAGCCGGCCGCTGTTAATGGTGAAAACTAGCTGTGCAGTACCCCGCGCCCCTACCAGCGACGAAAACTACCACCTACCCAGAGACAAACCAGGGGAACAAAACCCCAGCCGACTCCAAGGGCGGCCCAGTACCGAGCAGTAAAGGACACAGCGGAGGTAGTACCCAAGGTGACTTGTGGAAGGTGGCCCCAAGCCCCAAGGGCAGTACTTACAGGGCACCTAGGGAAGATAGCCCTAGGCACATGCAGCCCAAGTACCGTGGAATCTTACTCCTGGCTCACACCCCACCGGTAGAGACAGTCCACACCACAAGGCACAGAACTGAACCAAAAACTGGAGCCAGAGGCACTTGACCAGCCAGTAATACCATCAGCCAAGAACTGCCAGTTGGATTGCCGGCGTGGAGGGTCTGGGGCTCCCCCTTCCCCCTCTCAGGGAGGGGGGGGGGGTTGCACAGACGGTGGCGCGGCGACGTGATGACGTCATGCTAGTTTGATAATTTTGTTTGGGGAGTTCTGTCCACTCGTTCGGCTTTCGGTAGCAATATTTTCACCAGAATAGGGGTTTGTTTTGGGGCGCCTACTTTTCTGGGTGCCTGTCCCGGTCGATGGCAGACATAGAATGCTCCCAATCACAAGGGGGTTTCTATAGGCCATTGCTCCTCGTGCCTCTCTGAGGGGGCCAGGTTCTGGCTCGTGGTCCCCGGTAGGCAAGAACTCCTAGCACTTTGACTGATGCCAGAAAGTTATACATATCCATTCAGCCTGTATAGCTCCGGGGAGCCGACGGGGCTCCCCCTCCCAGAAAACCCTACGGCTCCCCGGAGCTAACTACCCACAGAGGAAAAAAGGGACTTACCCAGGAGGCGGTTGCTGCTCATTCCTCATCCCGAAGTCGAGACAACTGGCTGCAGCCACCCACAAAGCGAAAGTCCTGCTGAAAGGCATCCACCGCGAAAGCCTCGCAGGCGGGCAAGGGCGCCACATGGAATGGGAGACGCGAGACCACGCCGACGTGAAGATGTCCATGTCCAGAAGTCCGTACGTCGACTCGTTTCATTGGCCAAACCAAACCCCAAGAATCCAGCAGATGAGCCACTCCCCAAACAAACCAAAGAATCCAGCCAAACCCCAAGATTCCAGCAGATGAGCCACTCGAAGGGACCAACTCCAAAGGACATGGACCTAAAAGAATCCTCGTGGTTCCGGCAATGACCCACTGGAGAACAGTCCGAATGGAGCCGGATGGTAGAGCCCTGAGTGACCCGAACCCTCCGAAGTGCAAACTCGACAGCCACGAACTCCTGAACCGTGCTGTGAGCCCGATGGACGGACGGACCTCACCATCCCCGGCTGGCCTGGTGAGCACTGGTCACAAAGCCCCAGCCGAGAGATGACCAGTCCATGAACACATTGAGCGAAGGCTCGAGGAGGCGCCAAGGCAAAAAATCAAAAGCCCCAAAAACCCTATAGCATGCAGAACAAAAGATCAAGATGATCTATGCAAAAGATCTTGCTAAAGATCAGCAAAATAAAGAGGAAGCCGGTGACGCAGCACCAACACAAGATCACCAGAGGACGAACCTAACGATTGCGAGAGAAGCGGAAGAGGAGTCCCCAAAGGAACCAAACAGACACCGAAGCCAAACCCGATCCGGCGAGCAGACCAGCACGGCGAAGTTCAGGGGTTGCATAGATGGCGGCGCAGCGACGTGATGTCATGCTAGTTTACTAATTTTGTTTGGGGGAGTTCTGTCTACTCGTTTAGCTTTCGGTAGCAGTATTTTCACCAGAATAGGGGGTTTATTTTGGGGCGCCTACCTTCCTGGGTGCCTGTCCTGGTCGATGGCAGACATAGAATGCTCCCAACCACAGGTGGGTTTCTAAAGGCCATTGCTCCTCCTGCCTCTCTGAGGGGGCCAGGTTCTGGCTTGTGGTCCCTGGTAGGCAAGAACTCCAAGCACCTTGACTGATGCCAGAACATTATACATATCCATTCAGCCTGGATAGCTCTCGGGAGCCTACAGGGCTCCCCCCAGAAAGCCCTAGAAACACAGTGCAGGACACAATGTTTTCCACTTTGCGCACACGACCTAGAAACTATAGTCCGAGAGACCAGGGCACCCCTCCTGAAATATAAAAGATGGGCCAGAACTCTGGAAGAGACAACCCTGGGAGTATGGACAAGTTCTTTGTTTACCTGCATTGAAAAGGTTAGGTGCATCTAGATTTTACACTAAACAAAGCTAAATTATTTACACAATGAAATCTCCTAAAATGTGATAAACCTATGAGAAAAAATTGAAGCCATACAATGGGATCGAACTTGTATCCTGTCGGTAGTGCATGTGGCAGAGGAGTTCATGGATGCTGGTTCAATCTCATTGTACAGCTTCAATATTTTCTCATTTAATTACATATTTTCTAATATAAAATTTTCCCTGACGACAGTATTAGTTCTAATATTACTGGGTGGATATCCACCTGAATGAAGAACTGTGCCTGCACAGATCAGGAACTTACAGTTTCCACAGTCTTCACACACAACCACTGGACTCTTGCCACCCAACTCCATTGTAATGCGCTTCAAATTTGATATACTTGCTGCTTGCATTACTTTGTGCCCCACTGCAGTAGAACCAGTGAATGCTACCTGTGTAAACAGAAGTGTTTCAGATTGTAAAGCTGAGCTGTATAATTGGCATGATTATGCAAGAATTCATATTCACTCTTCAAAACAGTCAGAGCTCAGCTTTGAATCTCGAATCCTAGGCGTCCCCTGTCTGTTTTTTCCCAATGCAATGTCAACATGGACAAATATTATTCAGGGTATATGCAGCAGATTCTAAGAATGAACAAGTGTTAGTAACCTCCGAGGTTGAAAAAGTGCTGAAGAAAAGCATCCAGTGTTAAAAAAAGGGTGCATTAAATATAGGAGAACTTACAGTCACAGATTGTGTATCTTCAGACTTTCATGAAAGAATATAAATTAAAATGTTGAAAGCCAGGTGGGAGTGTAGAAATGGCATGGAGGAATGGGGGTGAGGGGGAAACATGCTTCATCCAGCCCTTGCTGTGGTGGTGAGCTATGGGTCAGTGGCTGGAAGCAGATGTGATTCCTAGATGTCATGTTGGTGCTATGTTGCAGCATATATCCTTATAAACAATTGTGGGTACCGACCTGTGAGATTTATATTTATTTAATTTATATGAATTTATATAGAATTTATATTTACGTTAATTTATATATTTCGATAGCAATTGGTAGGATGTTAAGTGGACTGTATTTCTGCAATAATCTCACAAATCGATCCACTATACATTAGGGGGGGTTTATATTGAATTTGTATATATGCAGCCAATCAAACTACAGTATTAAACTACATATTAGTATACATTGAAGAGGTTCCTTATCTTATTATACAGCAAGGCTTAGTCCACCAGATATAACTAGGATGTAAACACCAAATTATCCTCTTTGAGGTAGCTTCCATCACCCAGTAACTGATGCACAAAGTTTGCTTCCTCTTCTTGACCTGTCAAAAGGGCGCTAGCTTTGAAGCTAGAATCCTAATATATGACAGCTATATCAGAGAAAACACTGTACAATGAATCAGAAAGACCAAGGTTTAATTACCTTTTTTTAAGAGGCTGTTCGCATTCTAATTGGTACACCCTATTTATTGACATTAATGGCCAAAAATTATTAGATAAATGGGTTTCGGCAGAACACTTTCCTTGCATTTGTTGATGCGTGTTGATAATGGCAGACCTTTGGTTTCCATAACACTTCGTCCAAGAGAAATTAACAGGAGCCGAATTTGCTCCCGTGCGCCTCTGGTCTAAGAACAATAATGGCTGACCACTCCCTCACCACTGACGCCTCCCTTACTTTGTAGAGATGTCAGTAACTGATTGAATGGTCACATTTACTCTATTTTAATACTGATAATTAAATTAATTTATATGAGATGTTTTTATGATGGTAAAGTCCAAAGACTAATGTATTTAAGAATAATTCCCACCATAATAGGTGGTGAATTTATAATAGTATGTGGCAATGATATCCCATTTTCTATAGATGGAAAGTTCCACTGCAAGTTACATTTTCTATGGGTAACTTGTGTATACAATGGCAGCAACATTATATGCCTGTATGTAATATGATTAAATGGTGTCGGATTTTCCGGCAACAATGTAGTGTGGTGCTTCTTGAAATTTAGCTAGCTGTGATTTATTATTTATGCATTATACTTTTAGCCAGGTTAGTTAGTCCAGAACCCCAGTACGTACTGATTACAGTAGCCAATGTTAGTGAATACTCCCAGCACCTACACTTGCGTTCACCTAAGCATGCTCTCCCCTACATACTAGGTAAGGTCTGTATATGTCTGTTCCAACCACTTGGCACTTACTCTACTTTCTTTACAAGTACAAGTGGGCTGGACTCTCGTACTGTTACAGAAATCCCAGACTACAGTACAATACTTATATCTGTAGTTGAGGTGTTTCTGTGCCATTGAAATCTCCTGTTATGTTGCTATGACAATTCTATTATTTATGCTGTGTCAAAATTCAGTGTCTTTTATTTCAGTCCCAATTTAAGTGTTCTGAGGTTATAGGTAATTGTATTTATATTCAGCCTTGTGGCCTGTTGATAATGTGAACTCCTCTGTGGGAATAAATGAGGTGCTCAACTCTTAGTCAGGCTATCCTGGGGGTCACTAGCTCTGAAATTCCAAAAACTGTGGAATGTCTCTTAAGATCTTAATCGTCTCATATTTTATTATGTAATAAATGTACATTTTGATATAGTTATAGAATTTTTCTAAGTAATTTTTGGGGAAGCCCCATGGTGGCTCCCTGTAGCCATCTTGCTGAGATTGCTCAAATTTACCCACATTAGTTGCACGAGTTCATTTCGTCTACAGGGGACCAGACCCAAAACCTGGCCCCTTCACATGGTATGCAGAGTAAAATGATACATTCCACCATTTCACTGGTAAATCATGAGACGGTAAGCAAAGTTTTACAGACAAATGCTGGGTTCACAAGATTCAAAAGCTGCTAAACTGTCAAATAACTCCCCAAACAATACAAAATAAAAAAAAGAAAACAAAACTACCTAAATCCCATTAGTACCGAATGCTACCACCAGGCAGCCTGGAACTCGGTCCAGTGACAGCTAACATCTGTTCATCCCCTATATAGTGGATGAATTATAGTACTATAGTGGACTACATCCATAGTGTAAAGCAACGCAGCAGTGCTCCTTTTTTTGCATCATTTTGCAGAAAGTTCCAAAGCTTCTAAGCTAAGTACTGGCCATCCTATGACTCGTCTGTGGGGCCATTTTTGCTTGTGTATTGTTTCATTACAACACTCGCTTCACGTGCATGTTTTTTGTCTGGTTTTGTTGTGTGAACTTGGCCTTTTTTGTGCTCTGAACTGTGTGTGTCCAGTGGTTACTTTCCTGGGTGTTTGTGAGCATTGTCCTTGCACTGACAGAGTTCATTGGAGAGTCTGATCCAAAGCGCCTTGGTAGGCAGTCGTGTTGCGAGCACTCCTGGATATTGTGAATTTGTGCTCAGCTGCTCCAGTGATACAGTGCCTTGGTGTGTTGAGGAAATGGCAGAGGTGATCTGCCTAAGTGAAAGACAACCTTGTCCTAGGTCTACAGAATACGAGAGCAAGGATGACAGACAAGATGATTCCAGGCCATTTCAGGTAGCAATGATCAATGTTGGAAATAACCAACAGTTTATTCTCCCTTAACTCCTAATACTAACATTTACTAATAACACTAACATGTAGAATTAATATCGTTGGTGTTTCTATAGTAAGGCATAATTTTTCCAGAATCTTCCCAGCCATCATGACGCCGCACGTCAGATATCAGGCTGAAACATGTAATCTACGCTGATGGGAGATTTATAGAGCTCAGTTAATTGTCCATTCTTTCTAAAAATATTGTTTATTATGAAAGAAATAATCATTTCGCGTACTTATGTGTACTGGACTCGACCATTCAACCAAATTAATTATACCAGTAAAAATTACTGAGACGTAAATTAAATACACGTCCACCCTTCTCCTTTAATTTGTGTAATATTAATTAAATCTATTGCCTTGAGAGAAGAGGTATTATTATTCAATATATTTATTTGTGTCAATAGTATAAGTCATACTCACTTATTTCCCTAAATAATTACTAGTAAGTCAAATTAGTTTAAGCTCGAGATCACTATGGGCGTCTCTGCGCATGCGCGTCCGAGCGTCAGAGGATGAAGAAGGGGTCTCTCTACGACACTACTCCGCCACGAGCACACGCACATCTGCAGGCGGCAGCCATTGTAGTTACCAACACGTGGTCGTACAGTGTTAATTACTGTGTAATCTCGCGTCTGAGAAGATAATTATGTCCCATAATCGACCTTCAACAGCAGTGAATGTCAGGGACTATCAGACGTGATATCGGGGAATGTAAATGTTTCAACCTACATTAAGTATTATTTTTGGATTTGAGTGTACTTAGTCTAAAATTATTACTGTAGGTAGTTCTCCATTATGTCATCTACTGACCACAAACCCAATGTTAGTTTCATTCCACGTTATTCTCAATTTCTCAATGAATAGTGGAATAATTTTCTAGCCTAGTCAAATATTATTGCATCTCTGTGATTGCAGTGTGTTGGTGAGGTCAAGCAGAGAAATTCTTCCTTTACACACGACATTCCCTACTGGTGTTTCATCCATTATTTGGGCGATGTGATCACGTCTACGAGTATGCAAACAGTCAAACAGGTTTAGTGAAGTTTTCTTACAGCTAAGCCTTACTGTCTTTCTTTTGTAGATTTCCTTTGATTAATGCTAATATTGTCTCTAATATATGTGTTCTACATTTATTATACATATGAGATTCTAAGATACATTTAATATTTGTTGCCTAGAGTGTAGCAATTTTTACACACGTAATTTCCTATGATTTGCCAATATGTCATAGGCTTGATTATCTCAATATATTATAATCACATAGAATCTACATTTAATTTCTGATTCTATAATCTTTAATGTTGTAATTAATCAACTGGTGATGAATCAGCACCAGTTCCTAGATATATATTAATTTCTAGTAATACCCCCAATGTTGAGTTTGAGTATTTTAACTCTTAATTAATTATTATTACAGTCCATTTATGCTCTTCAAATAATTACCAAATTACCTATCATCCATAGGCACTGGTATTTCAGGGTCAGCTTTATAATTCATTTATATTTTCCCTCTTTTCTCAAAAGTGAGTAGTCCTTCAAGTATTTTGAAACTTCTTAATTAAATATTATTATATCAGAGTTAAAGTTCCCATTCAACCAGAAAGAAATGTCAATATATTCACAGACAGCTTAGTGACATTGAGAGTGAAATCGACAAGAGATTGAAAAAGTGCAGTGATCGATGAGAGGTGAATCCAGGGATTCAAACTCGCAGACATTCTCAACAGGAAACCCTCACCAGAAGAATGCTAGACACACAGATTAATAGAAGGAAGTGGCTGTTATTTCCTACAATGTGTCAAATGAACTTTCATCAAAAACTGGAGTGGACGGTTCATTTGGCTAAGGAATTTGGTGAATATGAATTATTATTTAAGGAGGGTGTTTACCAGACCTACATAGCAGTTGGGACAGTAAGAAGCAGTGGAACACCTAATGAAAGTTGGATAAAGGATATTGTTATGGATCCTCCAGAAATAAGTATGATTTACACCAAGGTAATAGTTTTTAAGTATCCAACTTATTTGGATTCTGATTTTCTTTATCTCAACAATAAAAGTGTTGTATGGGCTAAGAGGAACATTGTACATGGTGAAAAACAAAGCCAGATTATTGCCTTGTTAAGGGTGAGGCTCCAGAAAGACATTTTGTGCAAGGACTAGGATACAGGAAATTGGCAAAATATACTGAGGAGTCAACACTGCGTGAAGTGTTCTCGTTGAGGACATATGGCTTGGAAATGTCAGTTTGACCCCAGATGTGACAGTACTGTAGTACAGAGAAGCCTCTAATGAGAAGACAATATATTTCAGTTCATGCAAGGGATATCACACAAAATTAACAGCAGATAAGTGCAAAACACTGAAAAATTGGCTAAAATTGAGCAGTTCCCTCCAATTTTAAAACTTAAGAAAGTTAGGTACAGTATTTAAGAGTTACTATTAGTAGCTGCTGCATAAGTTCCACCCTCAAGTGACTGCACTTCAGGAGCTACTATGAGAAGAGAACCCATTACCATGGAGTGGTGCTCCTTTGTTAATGTTTTTTAGTTTTATCATTGACATTCTAAGCATTTGTAATAGTTAAAATACTGCCACAACACAAATCAGTTTTTACAATTATATATAAAAAATAGCCATTCTTCATGTGGCTGCCATCCAACACATTTTAACAAGCTACATAATGCTGCTAATTGTTAGACAAACCTATTTATCTTTCAATGTTATCATTAACCTGTTTCCTACATTCATAATACTGAGAAATTCGCCTTGAAGCTATGAGAGCAGTAGTGTACAAAACAATAATGGTAACTATAACTAACCTTGTCAATATCTGGATGCTTTGAAATAGCATGTCCAGCGATCTCCCCCATGCCAGGCACAATGTTTATTACACCAGGTGGGAAACCAGCCTGTAACAAATCAAGTTACTATATGTACTCTTATAATTAGAAATCTTTTACTAAATGTACAAAATTTGAAAGCAGGTAATGTCAGTGAACTAGATACTGATAATAAAACAATAATATTAAGGGTGCTTCCTCTACTCAAGGTCCTTGTTGGCTACAACTCAACACTTATTTCTCAACTTTAGTCATATCTGCACCACAACAGCCATAATATTACCCCAACTACTTCAAGCTAGGGTTAAACTCAAGTATTGAGGTTTACTAATCAAGGAAAGTATCATGTCATCTAAAACCTTTCATTTAAAATGCAAAAGTTATTACACAAGCTATACACACTGCCACACACCTATCACTAACACACATGTCATAGTACACCAAATTTAGTACAACTTTATCATGGTATTAGTAAGGTAGATCTAATATGGTAATTTGAAAAAATGACTCCATATAATTACAACAGAGAAAGGTTGAAGCAACCCTATAGACCAGCATTACTCAACTGAGGTTCTGCAGAACCTCAAGGTAACTATTTCAGGGAGTTCAGCAAAAGATAGTGATTAACAGGCTAATTCCAATCATATGCAAAAGTATTTTTTAGTCATTTTTGTATTTAAATTTTCTCATTTAACCAATATCAAGAGAGAAACTGCAAGTAAGGAATTAATTATCAAACGAAGGCACCAAGTCGGGGAGACTATGTAGCACCATCAAAAGTCGCTAAATATCAGTAAGGATGCCAGTACGAGAACAAAAGCGCATAAGGCGAACAACATCTAAGGTATCCAATTCACCAGATACTGTCGAGGGACAGGTGACCATGAGGGACAGTTGGAAAGCAAGACACTTGCACATGCATATAGAAGTACAGTAAGTTCATAATAATCTTCGGGTGTTTAGCAAAGGAAATTATCAACTCGGGTGGACAGAGCAGCAAAAGAGGTGAAAATCACAGAGAAAATAGTAGGTTTAAAAGAAGGCCTAAATTCAAATGAAAATGTCAGTGATTTTAGGAGAATAGGAAAATATGAGAAAGACTAGAACTGCCCCTTAACCCTCAAACCGCGCATATCATATATAAATGATATCAGTGACAAAACCGAGACCGCGCACATCATTTATATATGATTTCGTGTCTAGCGCTATAATTTAAACGCCCTGCCTGGGATAGGGGCAGCTATAGTACAGCCACAACCGATAGTTGCCAGATGCCACCTAGAAAAAATTCCAGGCCAACATTCTTGGGTGTTAGAGCGTCAGTATTGAGCAAGCCACCAAGGCTGGCGCACGCAGCACGAGCTCACAGCACCGCTGTTCAGCTTGTGACCACAGCATCGCCTACAAATGCCATAATATATATGATACTGCTATTATTTAGCAGTGATAGTATTACTGAAGCCCCCTGACTGTGATAAAACTGACCAGGATTCTGATAATAGCAGGATTGTGGCAATATTTAGCGCTGTGCTCCATGGAGGGAGGAGTAAGGCTGTGGAGGGAGTGTTATGGCGTCGTCTTCTGACTGTGTGTGGCCACCATTTATTGACTGCACTCACCATACCAGCTTAGTGGTTCGCTATGGTGAACACAAATGTAGATACTTATATATAACGTGTGTATAGTGTGAGATAACAGCGAGAGGAGTAGGTTGGGAGCCACCATTTTGGTGAGGGAGGAGCGTCGTCTGCACGACTTGGCATGTTGTTTACTGATGGCCACTATGGTCTTTGGGCACCATACCAGCTTATGTGTACAGGTATGGTGAATAAAACAGGTAGATACTTATATATAATGTGTGTATATACCGTAATAACACCACAAACAATATTGTTGGAGGACAAATATTAGTGCGTCTAGCCTTGAGGGCTGCCGCCGATCTTGTCTTGGGCACCATACCAGCTTATGTGTACAGGTATGGTGAATAAAACAGGTAGATACTTATATCTTTGGGCACCATACCAGCTTATGTATACTGGTATGGTGAATAAAACAGGTAGATACTTATATATAATGTGTGTATATACCGTAATAATACCACAAACAATATTGTTGGAGGAGAAATATTAGTGCGTCTGGCCTTGAGGGCTGCCGCCGATCAGCTGACTGTGTGAGTAGCTACGTCTTTGTGCCTTTACTCACCATACAAGCTTAGATGTACAGTTATGGTGAACAAAACATGTAAATACGTATATATAATATCTGTGTATAGTGAATAAATGCAAAAACAGTATTGTGGGAGGAGAATGAGGGTGAGTGAGGTGGTGTTGAGGGAGGGAGTAGCAATGAGTGGCTCGCTGGTGTTTGGCGGTCACTCCTCGTTGCTTTTTGACTCACAAGACCAACTTAGTAGTTTGTTATGGTGAACAAAACATGCAGATACTTATATATAACTTGTGTATATAGTGTAACAACAGCAAAACTATTTGTTTATTGTTTTATTAACATAATAATTGAATCACTAATATGCACACCATAATTTTGAGTACAGCGATGGTTCACACATTTTATTATATAAATATACCACAATTCACTGTATGGAATAATATTACTGCAAAAAAACTAAGAAAAAATCAGAGACATTGAAATAATTAGGTAATAATATATTTGTGGCAACTGCCGTCTGCCAGCTCGGGCGGAGTAGACCTCGTCTGGCGAAGGCTCTGCCAACGCCCCTTTTTGCCACACTTCCCTACCCTATTGCGGCTAAAATATGCCACCTACGATTTTTTTGTTATTTTTTCCGTGATCAAGGAACAAAAATGAACACTTCTATAAGACGAAAGAATTTTTTGGATTTTTTTTTTTTGTTGCGCCTGTAGGTGTGAATTCCATTTGGGCCCCTAGCGGTTTGAGGGTTAAGGGTGACGTTTCTTAAAGTGAAACATATGATGGAAGTGCTTAGAAATTACAGTGTGATGAGGTTGGCACACTTTGGTCAATAAGACAAGACCTCTCAAAGGAAGACAGAAAAGCTGAAATTGAACCTCATTGAAGTAAAACGTCCAAATGGGAATAGGAAAAAAGAAGACAAATTCTTTTTTTCTACAAAGTGTTAGGGACTGGAAAGGTAGTAAAATGATACATAAAAACAAGGCAACAAAATCATTAGTGGAAGGGAAAGTAAAGAACAAAGGGAAAGGGAACATGTTCCTGAAAATTGACTATACCAACATAGATGGTGTGAAATAAAAAATATTGGCGTTGCAAAATATAATTCAGTTTAAGGTCCCAGATATTGTCGCATTAACAGAGACAAAACTTTAAGAAAATATTTCAAATGAAGTCATTTTCCCAAGGGGCAACTCAGTTTGGAGACATGACAGGAAAACTAGGAAGGAAGGAGGAGTGGCTATGCTAGTGAAAGAACATCTGAAGAAAAGAGAGTTAATACTTGACAACCCTCGAGAAGTTAACATAATGGCATTGCAGGTCTGGAATCAGGAAGATAAACTGATAATTGTAAATGCCTACAGCCCACCAGCAAGCAACACATGGACAAAGGAAGAACTGGATGACAAACGAGAGGGCCTTATAATGGTCGTGAGAAATTATAGTACAAGCAGAGAAAGATAAATTACGACTGTTGGTACTGGGGAACTTCAACTTTATAGGCAATAGACTGGGAAGCCTACGAAGCAAAAACGGAGGACATTTGGACAGGCAGATTTGTAAACCTCATTCTGGAGACATTCTTGTATCAACATATCAAGCAGGCCACAAGAATGAGGGAAAGGGATGTTCCATCAATACTGGATATAATATTCACCAGGAAGGAAGAAGAGGTATTTGACATCCAGTACCTTCCTACCTTGGGAAAGTGTGATCATGTCCTGTGGGACATTAAATATGCTTTAAGATATAATCTAGAAGAAAATGGGGACATTGAAACAGTTGTTAAACTCTATTTCAAGAGAGGACACTATGGGAAACTTCAACAAAAAATTAATGAGTGTAATTGGACAGACTTGTTGCTAGGCAGAGAAGTAAATGAGATGTATGCAAAATTTTGCAAAATATACGATGAAGGGGCATAAACATTCATACCAAAACAGAGATACAGGACTAGGAAACAGGATTGGTTCAACAGAAATTGCAAGAGGGCCAGAGACCAAAAGACACAAAAATGGAATCAATATAGGAAGAGGTCAACCCCCAAACATTCCAGTGACACAAAGATGTGAGAAACAACTACACGGCAGTGAGGAGAGAGGCAGAAAGAAATTTTTGAAAAAGGGATAGCGGACAAATGTAAAACAGAACCAAGCCTATTCTAGACTTGAGAATGGTCCAGGACGGACCGAAACATCATCGTCCCTTCACTTTCTAGTCTGGTCTGGCCAACATACTTCAGGCACATTATTGTGACTCATCGCCTGCAAGCCTATTCTACAAACTCAAAACAACAAATTGCAGGTAAATGATAATATTCAGAGGATGAAAATGAGAAACAGATTCACAGAAAATTAAAAAGAAATGTGTGAAGCATTAAATGAAAAGTTCCAAAGTGTGTTTGTACAAAATTAAATCTTCTGGGAACCAGACACAATAAGAATTCCAGAGAACAACATAGAGCACATAGAGGTGTCTAGAGACGAAGTGGAAAAAATGCTCAAGGCGCTAAATAAGATCAAAGCAGTTGGTCCAGATGACTTTCAACAGAGTTCCATATAAGAGACTCTTCTGGAAACGAACATATTGGAGGGGTGACAGGTAAGCTTCTAACATGGATGAAAAATTTTCTAACTGATAGAAAAATGAGGGCAGTGATCAGAGGCAATGTATCGGACTGGAGAAATCTCACAAGTACCAAAGGGTTCAGTTCTTGCACCGGTAATGTTCTACATAAACGATCTTCCAGATGGAATACAGAATTATATGAACATTTTTGCTGATGATGCTAAGATAATAGGGAAGATAAGTAACTTGGATGATTATCATGCCCTTCAAGAAGACCTGGACAAAATAAGTATATGGAGCACTACTTGGCAAATGGAATTTAATGTAAATAAATGCCACATTATGGAATGTAGAATTGGAGAACATAGACCCTACACAACCTATAAATTATGTGGGAAATCTTTAAGACTTCTGATAAAGAAAGAGATCTAGGGGTGGTTCTAGATAGAAAACTATCACCTGAGGACCACATTAAGAACATTCTGCAAGGAGCCTATGCTACACTTTCTAACTTCAGAATTGCTTTTAAATACACGGATTGTGAAATACTAAAGAAACTGTTCACGACTTTTGTTAGACCAAGACTGTAATATGCAGCGGTTGTATGGTGCCCATATCTTAAGAAGCACATCAACAAACTGGAAAAGGTGCAAAGACATGCTACTAAGTGGCTCCCAGAACTGAAGGACAAGAGCTACGAGGAGAGGTTAGAGGTATTAAATATGCCAAAACTAGAAGACAGAAGAAAAAGAGGTGATATGATCACTACGTACAAGACAGTAACAGGAATTGATAAAATTGATAGGGAAGAATTCCTGAGACCTGGAACTTCAAGAACAAGAGGTCATAGATTTAAACTAACTAAACAAAGATACTGAAGAAGTATAAGAAAATTCACTTTTGTAAACAGAGTGGTAGACGGTTGGAACAAGTTAAGTGAGAAGGTGGTGGAGGCCAAGACCATCAGTAGTTTCAAAGCGTTATATATGACAAAGAGTGCTGGGAAGACGGGACACCACGAGTGTAGCTCTCATCCTTTAACTACACTTAGGTAATTACACACACTCAGCTGTAATTCACATACAGTAGTTTAATTTCAGGGACAGGCCTCAGACTGATCCTTGGGGTCACTATTTGTTACACCCCTCTCATCCATGATAATATTATAATTAATGTCCTCCGTACCTCTTTAACAAGTGCACCTATATACAGAGAGCTGATGGGTGTGAGTTCTGCTGGTTTGAGAATGATGGTACAGCCAGTAGCAAGGGCAGGTCCCCACTTCCAGGCCAGCATCATAACTGGATAATTCCAGGGAATGATTTGCCCAACTACACCAACAGGTTCTCGTCGAGTTAAGCACATATAATCTCCATCTGTTAGAACATGATTTCATTTAATTAAACAATTTAATGTCATTTAAGATAATCTTACAGTGTATATATTAACTATGCTTCAGACTAACCAGTAGCAACTATAAATAGATTTAATATTCATAAAACAATATACGAGCTCAAAAGATTTAGGCTATTAGTTGAACCCACTGAAAAATGAAACTGCTAGAACACACCAATGCTAACAAATTATTACAAATCTACTGAATTTTATTAATGGCCAATATGTGTGTTTTCTAACTACTCACCACAGGGAACTGTCTGACCATGTATCTTGTCACACCAACCAGCATAGTAACGTAGAGTCTTGATACTGTATTCCACATCACCAAGAGACTCGGTGTACGGTTTCCCATTGTCAAGTGTATCTAAGCTCGCCAGGTACTGTTGATCTCGCTCCATCAACTCGCACAGCTTTTGGTATGAAATTGAACTGAAGTTAGAGTAAATGGCCAGATTTAAAATTCTATGAAGGATGTTGAAAATGACTTTGCAAATAGTTAAAAAAATTTCTGTGTTAACCCTTGGAGGGAACAATTAACTCAGCCCTGGGTCACTACTAAAAGCAATTCTTATAGTACTTTGAAGACAATAATTGTACAAGTTTCTCTGTAAATGACAAAAGTATTTTCAAAATCCACATACAGTGGAACCTCTATTAACGAGTTTAATCCGTTCTGGCACCGAGCTCGTTATCTGGAAAACTCGTCTTAAGAAACAAATTTCCCCATTTAAAATAAAGGAAATAAATTTAATCCGTTCCACTCCCAAAAACATCCATACTTATATGACATTTTTTTATGTAAATATAATACTGCACATGTAATTATGTTTTGTTATACTGTTTTAATGTTTACTTTACCTTATGAAGAGTAGTTGCTGGCTTGAGGGAGACGATGGGGAGGTGGAAAGAAGGAGAGTGGTTATGGTGTGGAAGGAGAATCCACCTCTGAGTCAGGCGGATTCTCTCTTCTTGGGAATTTCACCCAAATTTCATTTCAAATGTCACACAAGGATGCGTTAGACCAGCACCAAATAAAAAACTATGTCGATTGTACTCGTCATGTCAACAATACAATGGTCTTACCACGAAGATGCAATACAATGCCATTCTCCCAAATAGGCTATGTGGCTATTAGAGAAAACGGACATTTCATAGCAAACATGTTTATACTATCCCCAAGTCGATCAGATAAGAATTAGATTTTATAGAAATATTTGCTCAAATGACACTTGAGCGGTGTTTGGGTGCATTCAAGAGAAAAAAGTGTCACACGTTCAAGCGACATATACCTGCGAAATTGATAACACTTTCACAAAGTGTTATCACAAAGTGATAAATTAATTAAACATTTTCACACACCAGGTTGTCACTGCTTTATCAGAGCAGCTTTTCCAAGAATGCGTTCACCTTTTCAAACATTCCAAACACTTCCCTGATCTCAGTGGAAGAGGCAACATCCTCCCTTACCTCCTCATTTCCTTACTAATGGTGTAAATTGTTGATGAGGCCTGCCATACTCCCTTGTGAGATCAGTCACACAGACACCACACTCATGCTTTGCTATAATTTCCTTCTTCAAATCCACAGTAATTGTGTCTTTCTTCCTCTTGACAACACTATCTTTAGCAAGCAGCTTCTTTGGCGACATCGTGTGTTACAAATTGTAGTCACAAAACCACTAAAAACACAAAGAAAAGCGCAAATAAATCCAGAGGGATGCTTGTCGTGTGCGATACAACAACATCACTGGCGTCGGAGGCGTCCGAGAATTTGCGAGAACCCGTGAGACGCTAGGAAGCACCAAGTGGTTTTGCTCGTTAATAGAGGTGAAGCTCGTCAATAGAGACAAATTTGCTGCGAGTGGCTCGCTCGTTACTGGAAATGCTCGTTAATAGAGTCGCTCGTTAATCGAGGTTCCACTGTACAATACTTAGTTACAGTATATACTTAGACAAAATATTCAAAATTTTTATTGTATTGTAATTTACAATATTGGTGAATTAAGAAAAAGACCGAAAAAAAACAGCGTTGAATGTAATGAAACGCCATTTTCTGGGTGTGACCCGTAGGCTCCCCAGAGCTTACTAGGCTGATATGCTAATGTCAGACTATGCCATCAGTCATGTATGGAGTTCTGTGGGCCTACCAGGGACCACGAACCAGAACCTGGCCCCCTCAGAGAAGCATGGGAGCAATGGCCTATAGAAACCCCCGTGTGGTTGGAAGTATTGTATGTCTGCCACCAACCGGGTCTCGAACCCAGAAAGGTAAACATCGCAAAACAAACCCTTATTCTGTTGAAAATATTGCTACAAAAGCCGAACAAGTGGATAGAACTCCCCTAAAAGAAACGAGCAAATGAGCATGACGTCACACGTCGCCATGCCGCTGTCTGCACAGCTCCCCCCCTCCCCGAGGCAAGGGGGAGCCCCAGACCCCCCATGCCAGCTATCTACCCGTCAGTTCTGATGCTGGATGTCAAAACACGCGAAAAACTGCCGACCGGAGGGAGGGAGGGAAGGATGCCAGGGAGCCTCCGGGTCGCAGGGGCAGTACTCACAGGGTGCCTAGGGAAGGAAGGCCCTAAGCGCATGCAGCCCCGGCACCTGATGAGGTACTCCTGGCCACCGCACAACACACAAAGACAGCAGAGAACGTCACACAAGGCAAACTCCGCCCAGGAATTTGAGGCCAGAAAAGTGTCTATCCCGGTTGACACTAGCTTACGAATTGAAGGCAGCTGGCACAGTCAGGTCCGGGGCCCCCCCCCTCCCCATCTCGGGGAGGGGAGGGTTGCGCGGACGACCGGCGCAGCAGTAAGTTGTGATAATTGCTTGTTTGCTTGTTTCCTTGGGATTGTAGGGAGTTTCTACCTTTCTGTTCGTTTTTTTGTTTTAGTTTCTCACCAACTGGGGTTTGTTTTGTTATGCCTACCTTTCTGGGTGCCTAACCCCGGTTGATGGCAGATAAGGAAAACCCCCAACCACAATGGGGTTTTCCAGGGTCATTACTCCCTGAAACCTCTCTGAAGGGGCCAGGTTCTGGCGCTGGTCCCTGGTAGGTCTGAACTCCATAGCCAATGTCCCGGTCTAACATAACATAACATTAGGCCGATAAGCTCCAGGGAGCCGTAGGGGCTCCCCACAGAAACGAGATCATTCGTAAACATGAAATGGTACACAGGTTGTTGAACTAGCTAGGCAGTACAACAAATCCGTATCAATGATATGCACTGTAGTTGCTAAGAAAAAACACATTATGAGTGTTAAAGTGGCAAAAAGCATATCAACGATCATGAAACAAAGAACACAAACATTTGAGGATGTTGAAAAGTTGTTATTAATTTGAATACACAACAAGGAGTTAGCAGGTGATAGCATTTCAGAGGCCATCATTTGTGAAAAAGCAAAGCTGTTGCATGAAGATCTCATAAAGAAAACCCCTGGAACAAGAGATGCAGATACGAAAGAGTTTAAGGCGAGCAGGGAATGGTTTGAGAAATTTAGAAAAAGAAGTGACATTCAGTGTTGTGAGAGTTGTGAGTGTTCTGTGTTGCGAGTTGGAGGAGGAACACAGCGAAGAACTGACCACCGAAAAACTCCTAGCCTTTGACAATGAGCAGCAACAAAAAGCAGCCGAGGAAATTTCTTCAGGGAATGAGGAGGCAGTACAGAATCTCCTTGCCTCACCAATTAATATTTTTAGGAGTGCTGAACGGATTAATTCAATTGACATTCTTCCTTGTGGGAAAATTTGTTTCGGGTTGCAAATTTTTGGCTTACGAGCTGTCTCTGGGAACGGATAAAATTCGTAAACGGGGGTACCACTGTATATACTGGTATTAAGGTTAATAAATGATTAGGTAATAATATGTAGAGATGTCAAATCTTCGAAAAAATAAGAATTTATAAGTAAAACCCAATTTTCTTAAATTTCTATAATCAAAATAATATGATGAAAGCTATTTTAATCCTGGGTGAACTAAAATACAGAACGGAGTTCAAGAGAGGCTTTCTAGGAATAAGGTGAGAAAGCCGAGCAAGAACCACCAAAATTTGCAAGCACCAGCACTGAGCACTCAACAGGTGTACGTGCTGGGTACAACACACTGACATCTCAAGCTTAAGAAAATACCTTCTAGCAGTGACAAATGTGACCCACCAGTCCATCAAGATTAACAGTGCCACTTATTAAGTTGTCATGCCAGATACAGATATACTCGCCTTGTATATTAACTTGGCCCTCTCTGAAGCATCCATAGTGCGCCATGGAGATGTATTGGAGAAAGCCCTCCTTGCAGCCAACACTGCTTTATTGACATCCTCCTGCAGACAGGAACGAGTAAACATTGTGTCAGCCAAGACACAGTCAACTTATTGCTAACTCGGAAAATTAACATAAGGTAATGATATTATTTTATTGATGTTATACATAGAGAAGAAATCTACCAAACTTGACAACCTATTATCACTGACAACCAATTATCACTGTGATATAAAACATTGAGCCATTAAATGTTATGGCCAGATGTGATCAACAAAGATACTTACTTCACTAGCCTCAGACACAGTGCAGATGGTATCTTCTGTAGTTGGATTGATTACAGGGAAGGTGAGTCCCAATTCTGAATCAATAAACTCATTGTTGATAAACAGCTGAAAACAACAATATCTTCTGTCATTTACATGTCCTTGAAAAAGTTATTGCCAGATATATTTCATGTAAAAATTGAATAATGTCAGTATCAACACTATGAGTACTAACTACAGTAAGAGCATTAACTACACTTATAATTCAAAAATTTAAAAAAGAATTGATGTGCAAACACTACAAACCATTTTTTTATTAGAATATTCACATGTATTTTGCTAGTTTTCAGTATGGCAAAGTCAAGCAACAGACCTCTGTAACCTTTCTTATTGGTAATACTTGGGAAAATGGGAAATTATAATATTTGAAAAACACATTCTAAATGATAAACAAATGTATGAGAGGAAAACATTTGATTGGAAAAAGACAACACAGACAAATTTGGCAAAAGAAGCAAAGAATAGCAGTCTCACCACAAGAAAAAAATGCCTCCCTCCTCCCTCACACATGCATGCAAGCAAGCAAGCAAGCAAAGAGTTTAAAAGGAGAAAATGAGCACCCAACATCTGAATTGCCCCATTTGAATCCACTAACCAGGGCCAGGATTCATCGAGCATTTATGCATCCACTTATGAAACCTGTACATTACATCCACCCCAGCTGCACACATAGCACAACATGAGGCATGGAGCACTCAAAAAATAAAACTCAAACACAACAATTATTTCAACAAGCAGTATCAGTTATACAAAGAAAAACCCTGATGTGCAATTCCAGATCACTGCAGAGCCACTCCAATACAATACTGTGATCTCACTACCCTAGACCCAGAAATCCATTACAACCCTGATTTCTACCAACTTTACAATCCTGAAAATAACATTATGAGCAGCATTACAACAAGAAGTCAGACCCTTAGGAATAAAGCAATAAGATGGAGGAAGCAATAATAAAGCAGAAAAATAATTAACACCAAGAAAGAAGATATCAAAGAAGACAAACATTGTAAAACAATGAAGAAAGAACTTTGCATCACCAGCCCTGCACACCATAAGAATCAAGACAGATGAAGATAGAGACTACAGGACAAACTGGAGGAATGGGCTAGAAAATGGCTACTAAGGTTTAACTCGGGTACATGTAAAGTAATGAAATTAGGTGAAGGGAGCAGGAGGCCAAACACAAGGTTCCATCAGGGAGATGAAATCCTGCAAGAGTCAAATAGAGAGAAAGATCTGGGGGGTTGATATCACACCAAACCTGTCCCCTGAAGCCCACATCAAAAGGATATCATCAGTGGCATATGCTAGGCCAGCATCAGAACTGCATTTAGAAACTTGAGTAAGGAATCATTCAGAACCTTGTATACCACTTATGTCAGTAAAGTCTTGGAGTATGCAGCTCCAGCCTGGTGTCAGTACCTAGTTAAACGCAAGACAAAGTTAGAGAAGATTCAGAGGTATACCACCAGACTAGTCCCAGAACCGAGAGGTATGAGTTACAAGGAAAGTATTACGGAGTTTGGCCTGTATTCTATTTCCGCATATAAGATTCATACTTCCCTATCTGTAAATATCTAGAAGTTTTAGTTGATTTAATAACACTTTAAAGGAAGCAAGATACTGCAGTTAGTAGAAATATGGAGTTTTAGTTTATTTGAACTGAGGCTAGGAGACAACTCCATCATCAATATGGCGGTGCAGCTCGCGAGAGAGGAGAGCTTTCCCGCTCGAGGCAAACCCCCAGTGCATGTTGGGACATCAGGTGATTGGTCGGCGGCTTGGGTTTGGCCAGGTTGACCAATGGTGTAACACCCTGGGCAGTCATGCTACGTCACATAGCATGACATCAGGCGCATTGGCAAGGAAGGCAGGAAATCTGAGGCACTCCCTACTAAGAGTCGTGCTGAGCGGAGGTGCGCTCAACTTTTACCCGTTCTGGAGAACTGAAGAGGTATAGGCCTTCAGAGTGTAAATTCTATCAGCTATCATGCATTAACGAAGAGGGAGGCCTGTTGACTCCCGAGAGATTATGAAGTAGAGCTGGATGGTGTGAAAATAGCACCAAAGACTCGGTGATGACAGGGCTCCTGAGTAACTTCGAGAGGCAGCGCTGGCGGGTTGTGGTACAACCCGCGAGCCGTGAAGAATATTTGGTAGCAGTCTTGGTCTGGTGCAGTTCAACAACCCTTTCCATGGGGGGAAGAATTCACATGACGAAGCTGCATGTGAGGCGGCGGACCAGTACGTGGAAGTGTATTAATCTGGATAAGGCAGGCGACATCAGTCTCAACCTAACATCTAGTGAGGAACACCTTGTGGAGTGAGAGGCGCTCAAGGAGGAACGTATGTAATGGTCGGCACCAAGGGAGGAGTCATTCATCCGCAAGAAGACGTCTCAAACGTCGTGGATCGGTAAGGAGCTATGCACGATCTACTGGGTCTATGATCTATAAGGTGGTTAAATTGTCCTCAAATTTTTCCCCTTGTGTTAGGAAAGGTGTTATATATGAATAAGGTGATACAGTACTGTAATTGGAAATTACGCAAGGAGTTACATCGGACATAAAGCAATATTATTGTTAAATACTGTATTGCGTCAGTGATTTTCATGCATTGATTAAGTAGTGATTTAAAGGCTACATACTGTATATTGAAGAAGCACTAATATATATTTACATTCATATGATATTAATTTTGGTTAAGAGATAGCCTCATAACTTTCGATTTGGAAACATTGAAGTGTTGCCGGATATCGTGATTAATTTCAAGTGTTGCCATCGATTTGATTTAGAGATTTTGCAGACCAGTATAGTATAGCCTATTGTGAGTAAACAAATCATATTTTACTGTGTTTCCTTCTTTCCTCTTCATTTTTTTGTGTTGTCATTGTGGGGTTTACTGTTATCTTGAGGTTATCTTGAGTTGATTTCGGGACTTTAGTGCCCCCGCGGCCCGGTCCTTGACCAGGCCTCCACCCCCAGGAAGCAGCCCGTGACAGCTGACTAACACCCAGGTACCTATTTACTGCTAGGTAACAGGGGCATTCAGGGTGAAAGAAACTTTGCTTGTTTGTTTCTGCCTCGTGCGGGAATCGAACCCGCGCCACAGAATTACGAGTCCTGCGCGCTATCCACCAGGCTACGAGACCCCTAAGACGAGACTGTGCACCAAACTACTGTTGAAGAAGCACTAGACTGGGAGAAGTGATGTTTCACTGTGTTGAAAGATACTATTACTTGACTGTGGAGGAAGGAGAGTCAAAGTTGGCAACCTTGTGATTAACCTTAAAAATGGGCAACTCGACCAGGGTAAACCTCGAGTTTCCACGCCTATGGACACCCTAGCAAGGAAACTCGGGAGTGGTAGAGTTACCTCTCTCACTCCTGGGGTGCAAGGCTGGGTTCTGTGCAAACCCTGCTCTGTAGTTCGACTGAGGTACTCCCCAGAGGTGAACAAAAGGCTACTGGAGTTAAACCTCACATCCCTGGAAGACAAGAAGAGTAAAGGGCGATATGATCACCATCTACAATATTCTGAGGAATTGACAGGTGGACAAAATAATTTATCATGGGTTGAACATGAACAAGGGAACCGAGTACCCAAATTAGCCACAAAGACATTAGAAAGATTTTTTCAGTGTCGGAGTACAGTGGTGCCTCAGTTAACAAATTTAATCTGTTTTGGCACCGAGCTCGTCATGTGAAACTCTCATCTAGCGAAACAACAACACTGTCGTCGGAGGCATCAGAGAACCAGCAGGAATGCTAGGAAGCACCACGTGGTTTTCTTGTTAACAGAGCGGAAGCTCATCAATCGAAACAAATTTTTTGTGAGAGGCTTGCTTGTTACCTGAAACACTCGTAGGTGGGACTGCTCGTCATTGGAGGTTCCTCTGTATTTAACAAATGGATGACATTAGGCAGTGATGTGGTGGAGAAAGACTCCATACACAGTTTCAAATGTACATATGATAAAGCTCAATAGGCTCAGAAATCTGTACAACAGTTGAGAGGTGGGACCAAAGAGCCAAAGCTCAAGCCCTGCAAGCACAACTAGGTGAGTACCGTCAAGCCTCTAATCTAATGAGGAGCCATCGTTCAAGCTGGGTTAAGCCCCGGGGTCTATTTCTCCTCCTGCAAGCAACTGTCCACAAGTTGTTCTTTAGCAATAACAACGTTCTAGTCACCATTGGGTGTCTTGTCCTGTATTCAATTCAATTTGTTAGCTACAGGGAGAGACACAGGCTTCCTGTAGCTAGTATCTCTAATGTGCGTATTGCCTAACAGGTGCCATCAGTCTCGTCGTTCTCTGGCCAACCAGAGACCATAAGCCAGAACCTCACCCCCCCCCCCACATGCACAGGGAGCAGTGGCATCTATTTTGTGTATGTCACCACCAGGAAAGGCACCCAGAAAGTCAGCAAGGCAAAACAGACCACAGCTGGCTACTTCCTATATCTACAGACTCGAAAATGGTAACAGAATTCCCTCAAATTAATTTGCAGAAACAACCACAACATGACTACAAACAGAAAAGGTAAATAAACATGGTCAAGACAAACCAAGTGCCTCCAGAAGTGGCCACTGCCAAGAAGCCAAATTCTCATGATTAGCAAAAAACAAAGGAGAATGTGGCAAACTAAGAAAACACCATCAAACAGGTGAAAGGCTCCCAAGTCAAGCAAGTAGGAGAATCACAATTGACTTAGCACAATCACCCACAAGAACAGCTTGCTGACAGCAAAGAAATGCTAATAAGGTTCCCAGAACCATTGGGAAAAGCAAATCCAGAGAAAATGCAAGGAAAGCCCAATCCTGAGAACAAAGAGGGAACCAAGTGCAAAACACAGCACAGAGAATGCCTTCCACCCCAAAGAGGGAGAGGTTCAGTGGAGAAAATAGGCCTAGAAAAGGGCCTCCTATCCCCAGAATAAGGAAGTATCTATTGCCATGCACAATCAGGATGCCACATGGGACACTAAACAATGAAAATGATATTTCAAGGTCTCAACCTACATCAAAGAGTACTCCAAAGGCCATCACACCAACAACAACTAGGCATGG